AAAAAAAAAAAAAAAAAAAAAAAAAAAAAAAAAAAAAAAAAAAAAAAAAAAAAAAAAAAAAACAGATTCTAAGAACAACAATAAGGAAATAACGACCAAACCTGGAATTGGATAGACATTCCCCGTGGGTCTCCTTGTAGGTGTTGTGGCCAAAATTGGAAGCCATTCAAACCAGACCAATCACTTTCTCCGATTAACCTAAATCCTGGACAACAGGACACAAGTTTGAATCTCTCTAAAATTTTGCATCCCTACTTTATTTAGTCTTCGCCTAAATTTAGTATTAAAAGTGGTTGAGTGCATATCATAGTTTTTGTTACTTATTTAACTATCAAACTTGGTGCTTCAACGATTTCTGCATTCTCAACAATATTCAAATATTCAAATGTTGCTGGCTGATATTTTCTTCTTTAGAGGTTCCCCTCAAGGCTTTTAAAACGATCGGCTAGTGAGAGGTTTCTTCAACCAATGTGCTATCTTACAATCCACTCCCTTTAAAGTCCAGCGGCCTTCTCTCCAATCAATGTGAGATCTCACAATCCACCCCTTTGGAGCCCTGACAATTCCTCTCTCCAATCGATGTGCGATCTCACAATTCACCACCTCCTTGGAGCCCAACATTCTCGTTGGTACTCATTCCTCTCTCCAATCGATGTGGGATCTCACAATTCACCTCCTTTGAAAGCCCAAGGTCCAATGTCCTTGTTGGCACACCTCCCTCTATTTTTGCTCTAATACTATTTGTAAAAAAAAAAAATAATAATAATAATATCTATTAACTCATTTTTCTAAAAATTTAAAATATATTCACGTAAGAAGATATTATTATTTAATTTTTAATAAAAAGGCTAAATGGAATGAAATCTAAAGTTGAGACGGGAAAGATTCAATTCAAATAGTAGAATGAAAAAAATAAAAATGGAAGGATGTCAGTCACCTCGTTGAGGCTGCTCTACTTGGTCACTGCTACACTGCTAGTGGGGAATGGAGTGCGGACATTTTCCGATAAAACATGACCTGACCTGAAGAAACAAGCAAGCAAAGACAAATTAACACTAAACTATGTAAACTATCAACTCATTTTTTAATACTACCGCCCGATTTGCTCTCTTCAAGTTAGTGGAAAAACGTCCGTCAACCAGAGAATTGAATTGAGAAACAACCATCAACAATTGGAACAGTTAAAACATACCTGTAAACCTAGAAGATTCTCCAGTGGAATTGCAAGATCTGCTTTGAAGCACATGCCCAGTCTCCCTTCCCAGGCGGCTGAATAGTCAAGCACTGAGATCTAAAATTAATTATGATGAACAAGATACAGGTAAAGATGAACAGAAGAAAAAAAATAAGTTTTGTGAGACTGTAAGTAGATTCCTTGGAAACAAAAAATCAAACGTTCGAGCTTTACTATTACACAGTTGCCGGGATTTGCAAGTGGTGAGATGTGGACACCAATCGTTTAGCTTTTACAGGAGCAGTTAGAAGCGGTCAAAATAGAAAGGGAGAAAAACACCCCCAACTACCTAGCGTTGTGACGTGGACTGACTCAAAGGCATGGGTCTTACGGGAGACCTTTCCGGTATAGTTTGGTCATGGGAAGATCCATTCTCAGCATTCTCAGCAACTTCCAAAGCACTAGCAGACTCTAAATCACAGTGTGCAACAGTGTTTTCTGTGCGAACAGGCCGAAGCAGACCCTGCAATCTCACCAGATAACTTTGGCTGGAAGGTTGAGGTCTCATATAACGGTTGGCCGTAACAACACTTGCAGATGGCCTTTCAGTATCAGAATGAAGATTGGACAGAGCACTAAGATCGAGGTTTGGGAAGACTGAGCAGCGACATCTAGGGCATTTCACATTTAGTCGAAGCCACTCGTCAATGCATCCTACATGGAAATTATGAGCACAAGGGAGGCCACGAACCTGCACCAATTTATAATGACCGTAACTTCATTTTCAGTAATCTACCAACAAAAGGTTCGTGCTTTCATGTATTTATTATAACCATGAATCTAGGTTCCCAGAAAGAGCATGAAATGCAGTAAAATACAAATCATAAACAAGCGACATTCTTGTACACCCACTGGTTTTCTGAACTTCTATAAATGAAATGGTAAGACGAGAAAAATCAATTACCTCGTTCCCTACATGGAACTCTTCTAAGCAGATAGGACATTCACTGCAATCTGTTGGAACAGCCTTTAACCTGAATTTGGGAAGTTCCTCAATAAGTGCTTCCACAGCTTCCCTCTGTCCAAGCATCAACGAATAGCTTGACCATCAGGATTAAAAACAAAAAATTTGGTCATAATACGGACCCACATAATGGTTTACATAGTAGAGATTTCTTAAAGAATTAGACAAGACCTCTCATGAAAAATTTAAAGGCTGAGAACCTAAGAAACCAAGCCCTCTTTCGGAAGAACTTCCGAATTCACAATGCTCTCATTTCATGTCAATCAACTTCCCTCGAATTTTTAATGAGCTATAGCCACTAAGAGGGAAAATGGTAGCAACAGCACAAAACTACTCTTATGCTACCAGACAACAGGTGTTGGGAAAACCTCACGAATATTGATGACAAAATGTCAACTCAGGGATAATAGACTTACCTGAGCAGGAGTCAAATAAAGTCCAGGATGATATGCAGCAGCATCTTGGCCCATTACTCTTGTTTCTTGTCCTGCGGCTTCAAAAGCCCAATCAGGTACTCGGATCATGTCAACCAAGACCTGTAATAAAAGACTGTTCACTATCAGTTTTGTCACATGGGCAAAATTATAGAGGGAAAAAAATGAAAGATACAAATGTTTATTTGATGCCCGAGAAGTATTTTATCAGTTTTGTCACATGGGCAAAATTATAGAGGGAAAAAAATGAAAGATACAAATGTTTATTTGATGCCCGAGAAGTATTTTATCCCTAAAGGTCATGCTTTTCATGTACTCTTTCTCAAGTCTTTTGTTGATTTCTGTTTACAAGTTTTATGTCTTAGCCGGAATGTCTTTATCTTTCCATTGTGATTCTCTTTATTTATTTATTCCGTTTACTGTTTTCAATTTCATTCACCTGTGGAGTTCATATCTTTTATGCATTGGTCTCTTTTCATTTCATCAATGAGAAGTTTAATTTCTTGTTAAAAAAATATAAGAAAATCAAACTTTCAAATATATATTTTTTTAAGAATAGAACCACAAACTAAAAAGAACCTAAAGGATATATTTATGATTTTGATTGAATCGTAATCCAGTTCAAAATGTCCACTTCAACTTCCTTCATGACCAATTCATCGGGTGTTTGCATTTTGTAAGAATCACCAGGCAAAAAAAAAAAAGGCTTTTTTTTTTTTTTTAATTGAAAGCAAAGAATATATTGTAGAAAAAATTTATAAAAGTAGATATGCATATAATATAGGTGATCTATGGACGTCATTGCAAATATCAGGCAGAAAAATTGATAACGTAGAAAGAAAATTAATGCACATCCTTTTAAGTTCCAAAATCTAAGAAGGCAGGAAGCTTAATTGCTTACCCCATATTCTGATACAGGGATCCCTTGTTGCGCCCGAAACAAGAGTGCTTGTCTACGAGTTAACCACTACATGGAGGTTTCAAAGATAAATACGTGAATTTCATGTATAAATGAAGAAAAATATTTGAGAATTTTCAACATGAACTCGCTAAAAAGTGTAAGTGGCACATAAAAACAACTGTTAGCCAAGCTACAAATTATTGGAGAGTCTAGACGTAATTCATAATGAACTCCAATGATAATCTGCATAGTAAACATAATAGAACCAACCTTTCCCAATGACACGCAAGCAATGCATACGAGTGCACAGTAGCTAAAAAGAAGCCAAATAAGGAATCCCCATTTCTGGCCTTGCTCAAAAAGCTGACAGATTTAAACCAATACCTCCATAAATATTTTTTAAAAGTATGAAAATTCAAATGGTAGCGATGGGAGTTGAAATAGAAAATAACATACACATTTATGGGCTTCTCTAAACCATAAAGTACCGATGGCAGTCCAAGCCCAAAGAAATGGATATAGCAGAAGTGCAAGGATTGAAAGGACCACAATTCTTCCACAGAATCGAGCATACCTCTGCTGCCACCCAAAGTCCCTACGATACACAAGTTTAGAAGACAAGAAAATCTCCAATGGCATCTACCAAAACAGAAATATTGCAAAAGAAAAATAGAGCGAGAAAAATGTATTGTCAATTAAAATAGGGGAGGAGAGGCAGGTGTGGATGTATATAACTAAATAATTAATTCATGGGTATAAACAGTTCTAGACCTCTTGGTCAAATGTAATTGACTTGACTAGAAAAACTTACGCAGCATCCCCATTTCTAAATGAAATAAGGTTTATAGTAATTCAACACAAAACCAGAAAGTGAACATTCATGACTTGAAGCTTCATAATTAGCCCCAAGAGAATAAAACAAATTTGGCAAACAGAACATAATTCTTTAAATCAGCAACAGATGTTCTTTTCTTTTCTTTTTCACACTTCAGTCACCATGCTTCTGATGAGAAGTCAAAAGTCCACAATCTTTGCACGTCAGAATCGATGTTTGTTTTGATCTTTGCCCCAATAATTGAAACCGTTAAGATCAAACCATACCATCCATAATGAAGGTATTGGAGAAACATTTTTCTCCTTTAATCTACTTTCTGACAACACAATATCTCTTTAAAGCTTTTCACAAATGGAGAATTAATAGAAGAACTGTAAGATTTTGCTAGCCCAAATTGACGTAAAACTATAAGTTGGAAGCCTTACAAACCCATTCCAGCAGCAAGTCCATTATCTACAAACATCAGCAGACGGAAAACAAAGACGGTAGTATAATCAACCTGTACAACAAATAACAATAAAAAAAATAAACAAACAAACTATCGTTGAATTCCAAAAAATTACAAGAGAACAACAAATTAATAATAATATCTGATACTTGTTGAAAGTTGAGTACAACTTACCAAAATCCATATATGCAAGGGATGTACACAAGTATGGTACCTCTTCCAGTTGATCGAAACAACTACTCTATCGAGCAAAATAGTTAAAGAAAATACACAAATAAAAAACGTTAAGAGAAAGACATTGCTCTTGATTTTAAAGCATAGGATATGAGTATGTCTCGTTTCAAACTCTAATACCAAAGAAATATAAAGAGCAAATCCACTCAAGCTTTAAATCATGGCTAAACAATAAGTGAAAAAGCAAACCATAAAAGTAAATGCAGCAGTCATGAGTCATCATTCAACCATTGTAAAAGACTGAAAAGAATCCGATACAAACAAACTCTAAAATTCCCCAAAACACTGAAGGATACACACTAATCGCGAGCATCGACAAGAAAAAACCGTCATACCTGCAAAAAGAAGAAATAAGTCGCAAAAGCCTATCAAGCTAACTACGAAGTACTGCTCCGGCACCATACTATAGATTATGCTAAAACAGAATTTCATTGAATTGAAGAGCAAGTCCTGAAAGACTCACCACTTGAAATCGACCCCTCGAGCAGCCATAGATGAGAGAAATTTTCACTAGAACAAGCTGGATGGAGAATCACAAACCGCCATACGACGGTGCAGAAGCCTGATGGAATCTGATGGCAATGAATCGGAAATAATCACGAGAACAAGAGCTGGTTCTCGTAGGATCATGGGTAGGACAACAGGAGCGAAATTTTGGAGGCAGAAGAAGAGAAATGAGCAATATGAGCAGTAGAGCAAAGCGGTGAGAGACGGATGGAAATGGGAACAGAACGGAAGCGGGAAGAGTACGACTGTTCTTAACGGAATTTGCAAGCCGTGGCGCCGTTTCTTGGCGGCGTCAAAATTCTAGTACGCATTGCAGCTTTGCACACGCGGCATTATTTGAGCTAAAGCCCTTTAGGCATAGTCGGCCCATAAGCCCAATCCACTTTGGTTTAAGTGGGTCATAACTCATAAGCCCAATAACTCGCTGTACTGTCGGTCTATAATATTTTAAATATACATATTAAGCTTAAATATTGTTTTGGCATCTCAAATCACACTGGTTCCAATTAATAGGACCCATATATTTTTATGCATCATAAGTCAAGGAGTGTCATCGGCCATCGCAACTCGCTTGATCATGCCATCGAGAACAGGCCTACTTGTCGTTCATAATATCGGGAGGTCTAGAACATCCTTCCATCTGGGTTCTATCGAAGCATTGAACTCTCTTGTGTCCATGTGTGTCCATGTCATGTCATTTATAGACTCCGTACTAGATATTGGTCAAAATCAAAACTTTCTCACTATTTTTTTCTACCCCACAAGTGAGCTATTCCAATCATTTTCACTTTTCCATTACTCTTCTACCGGCCACCGTACTTTTCCTCTACCCTCAACGAGATTCAAACAATGCCTAGATTCAAATTTCTTATAAGACATTAATATTGGACGTTGTTAGACGAACAGGACTAAGCTTTGTGCTTCTTCAAAACGTCTTATACCAAAGAAGATAGTATTCCTCATTTATAAATCCATGATCTTCTACTAAATTAACCAACGTGGGACTTACACGCACTTAATTTTTAATATAAATATTAAAAAGAAAAAAGAATTAAAATGAAAAACGAAGAGTAAAGGGAAAGAAAGAGGGAGTGCAAGCTTTTTAGAGGCTTTGATTCATTTACTTTCCATGGCACCCACCAAGAACGAACCATCGCCTCAGTGCTCACCATTTTTTCTTCTTCTTTTCAGCCTTTTCAGCTCTGAAGTAAAGTGAGGCCCCAACCTAATTATTCCTCTGCTGTTTGCTTCGCCATGTCGTTTTACCATTTACTTCTTTTATTCCCCTTTCCCCCCCTTTTTTTTTTTAATTTCTATTTAAACCTTTTAATTAATTCACCCCTCCACGTCATTTTAAATTAGCAATCCACAGTGTGCAGAAATCTGGATAATTTCTATATTCAACAACTTTAGGTTGGATTAGATTAAATTAAATTAAATTAAAATTAAATTATGGATTAGTTTATTTCTCTGTCAGCAAGTTCGTAAACCCATGTAATTTTTTGTTGGTTGATTCATTTTAGATAACCCAACTCAATTCCATTTATTAAAAAATTAAAAAATTAAAAAATTAAAAAATTAAAAAATTAAAAAATTAAAAAATTAAAAAATTAAAAAATTAAAAAAATCATCTTTTGACTTGTAATTAATCCTTTTTTTATTTTTATTTTTTGGTATTTATGCATGGGAGTTTGGGAGTGGCTTTTGTAAAGATACTTCAGTTTTAAACACTAAGTCAAAAGTGCTATTAACTAGACTCTTAAAAAAACGCTTTTTTTTATAAATAATTTTAATTCTTTTTAACCCTAGAATTTTATATCAACAAAATTAATCTTTCATCATTAAAATCATATTTCGAAGTAATTATATAAAAAAACAATAATTTAAATTATTTTAGAATAATTTACAAATATGGCCTTTTGTCTAAAATGTGCTTTAATTGACGATTAAAAAGTATTTTTGGTCACAAAAATGTGTATTTTTAAAGTATCACATGACAAATAAAAGTTTAATAATGTCGGGGCTAAATATAAAGTTTATTAATATGATAACTGACATAGTATTAAATGTAATCATAAAGGTGGATAAGCTTTTTATTTTAATTATTTTTTTAACCCTTTGTATATGTCGAGACAGTTGAAATAGTTATAAACAACATTAATTAAACAAATAAATAAGTCTTTTAACGAATATAGGGAAGGTAGAAATTAAATTAAATTATATATTTATAAAGTGGACCATACCACGCCAAGAACCTTAGTTTAATTCTATTTTGTCCTCATTTGCAACGGAATTCTCTCTTTTTTCTCCCTTTCTCAGGGAAGACTTTGAATTTCAAATGTATTCGTTGAAAATGGGTCTAAATTAGTTCCCCCAATTATCATTATTATAATTCATGAAAAAAAATAAATAAATTACTTAACCACGGGTTTTGGAATATATGACACTATTTACCACTGAACCTTCGTTAATAAAGGTAAATATTCAATATATAAAATTTTAAATTTGAACCATAAATATTTATTTACAGTAGTTAAATCACAGTCATTTAATCATAGTTCACATTGGTATGGATTATTACCACCACCGTAACAATCATATAACAAAAAATCACTCAATAAATACGAACCCATGTGGGTGAAATTAATATGAAAGTCCCATTAATAATGTATTTAATATTATTTAAGTTTGTTTGAAATTAATAATCATCATATACATGATTATTTATTTATTAGCTTATAATATGAAGCTTTTTTCTATAAACTCGAAAGCTTTCCACAGTTGGAATTTAAAACCAATAATTTGATATTTAAAAAAAATATATATTTCTTAAATGAAAAACAAAATAAAAAAGGAAAGAGAATAAAATTGGGGTAAAATTTAATATTTGAGAAATTAAGGACCATAAAGAAAAATAAAAGGAATTAGAACTGAAATTGGTTGTTTGTTGAAAGGAAGGGTTGTAGGCATTAGTTCAGGTAGGGTTGTGTTTGGATATAAATACGGGTACGCCCTTTCTGTCCGTTTCTCATCTCCGTCTCTATGGACTCGTCAACAATGGTCCATATCGTCTTCTTCCTGCTCCTCTCGCAATTGTCGCTCTCTCTGCTCCATGTAAGAAAAACCATAAACAAACAAACAAACAAACAATTCTCATTTTCATTTCGATTTTTGTTCTTTCTTTCCATTGTTCTAATCCGATCGTCTTGTCGTTTTTGCCACAGGTTTCGTTTGTTTCTGCGGATCAGGCTACATTTAATGCTTCTATCCAGTTCAATCCCTTCACGGCCAAAGCTTCTCTGGTTCGTTACTGGAATACGCATGTTTCCAATCAACTTCCGAAGCCTGATTTTCTGTTCGCCAAAGCCTCGCCACTCTCCGCTGTAGATGCCGCCGTGTTCGCCAAGCACGCTGCCCTAGGCTCGCTCACTTCCCGATTGGAAACGTTCTGTTATTCGGCTAATTTGTTCTGTTCGTTTGATTCTCAAGAAACTTCCGTTCCGCGCTTTAAGGATGCCGATTTCAAATTGTATGGAAATAAAAATTTCAACAACTATGGCGCGGCTCGAATCGGTGGCGCTGACTCCTTCAAGAACTATTCCGATGGGTTGAACACGGCCGATCACTCGTTCAAGCGTTACGGTGGGAACTCGAGTAATCATAAGGAAGGATTCACGAACTATGCGGAGGATGGTAATGTGGCGAACAATAATTTCATCAGCTACGCCGCTGAATCGAAGGGTGGTTCTGGCGAGTTCGTGAACTACGACAAAATCGTCAATGTGCCGAATCTCCGATTCACGGCCTACGATTTGGACTCCAGAGCTCACAAGCTCTCGTTTACGAGTTACGGAAACGAGACAAATTCCGGAAGTCAATCGTTCACGAGCTACGGCAAGAACGGCAATGGCGTGCCGCAGGAATTCAGTAGCTACTCTGATGGTTCAAACATTCTCACATCGACATTCACTGGCTACGGCGAGTCAGGGAAGAGCGCGAACGATTCGTTCAAGGCTTACGGTCTCTCCGGCAACAATCCGCACTCAAACTTCAAGAACTACGGCAAGGGCGGAAAATCACAGATCGACACATTCTCTAATTACAGAAACGGAGCGAACGTCGGCGACGATAGTTTTCAGTCGTACGCGAAGAATTCGAACTCCGGGAGAGTGAACTTTGCAAGTTACGGACAATCCTTCAACCACGGTAACGATTCATTCAAAGAATACGGCAAAGGATCGATCGGCCAAACGACGGTCGGATTCAGAAGCTACAGCGTTGATCGGAACTTCACGACGTATGCACAGAAAGGCGTATCGTTTTCTGAATACAGCGCGACGGGGAGTGGCATTAACGTAAATAGATGGGTGGAACCGGGCAAGTTCTTCAGAGAGTCTGAATTGAAGCAGGGGAATGTCATGGTGATGCCGGACATCAGAGACAAAATGCCACCGAGATCATTCCTTCCGAGGGCCATTTTGGTAAACATACCATTCTCCTCGTCAAAGATCTCCGAGACAAAGCAAATCTTCCACGCGCGAAATGGCTCGACGATGGAGCACGTGATTACCAGCGCGCTGGCGGAGTGCGAGCGGGCGCCGAGCATGGGCGAGACAAAGCGGTGCGTGGGGTCGGCAGAGGACATGATAGACTTCGCCACGGCGGTGTTGGGGCGGAACGTGGTGGTGAGGACGACGGCGAGCGTGAATGGATCAAAAGAGAAGGTGGAGATCGGAGAAGTGAAAGGAATCAACGGCGGAGAGTTAACGAGATCAGTATCATGCCATCAGAGTTTGTACCCTTACTTACTCTATTACTGCCACTCAGTACCCAAAGTCCGTATCTACGAAGCCGATATCCTGAGGCTGAAAACGAACGAAAAGATCAATCGTGGGGTTGCAATTTGTCATATGGACACGTCATCATGGGGCCCAGAGCACGGCGCATTTGTAGCACTTGGGTCGGGTCCAGGTCAAATAGAAGTCTGCCACTGGATATTCGAGAACGACATGTCGTGGAGCGTCGCCGACTGAAGGAAGGAAAAAAGAAAACTCTGCCGCCCTTTTTCATTTGTTTTCTTTTTAGTAATATTATTGTTGTTATTATTATGTTTTTTTTTTTTTTCTTTCCTTTTAAAAAAATGTTTTTAATTCGGGTGGGTTTGGTGAAAATGGAGTGTTTTGGGTCTGACAAAACCGGAATAGAAAAAGAAAAGGG